TGTTCAGATATGTATTACGTTTAATATTGTTATTATTATCATATACCGATTAAGATGACGCTCAATTACTTCCTTTTCGAGGGCAAACAGAATGTTAGCGTGGGCATCCGTAGCGACGCATTTATATCAAATTGCGTGTGTTTGTTTTCCCAGTGTTGAGCTTTTTTAACGAAGATAGCAGGACCAACCTTGCTCATGCTTGTCGCATTCGTATTGCCTGAGCTCACAACCGCAGGTTGTCTTCAGGTGCTTTTGTAATTGTGTGCCAATCGAGTTCCTAATGCGGGTAGTGTGTAAAATCTGTTTCTATTTCTTGTTTCCATTCAACTGAAAACAGACACTTAGGTAATCCGAAGATAAAGTATTGTCTCAAACGTTAAAGGTATTAAACTGTTGTTGAGAGCTGAATTCTAGATTCAGCGAAACACTTGACGACGTAATTTCTATCGTAACCTATCGTTTGCTCAAGGAACAGCTATTGCAAACACAGTACGCTACCTAACGGTGAAAATGCTCGACTGTATGTACTGCAGTGAGCTTCCACTTTCACTTGAAAATTTTCGTTTTTTAAGTCAACTGTTTACACATAGGGAAATAAGTAACCTCGGCTAGCTTTGCATGGCCGTGAGAGACTAGGCAGGACCACCTAGCACGCCAAAAAATATTCACATGGAAATGTAAACAAGGTTTGATCATCATGGATGGTAAGACTGAATACTATTGGATGTGATGCTCGTGCAAAGCACACAAAAAATAAAAGGCAAGAGGTCGTTAAAGTCACCCAGTGTACCACGTTGTCATGTCCTTTGAGTGTTCCCCGCGAGCGAATTTCACAGTAGTCTTCGTTATATGTCTTTCGTGAATCGGCTTATATTACTCGAACTTGTAAAAAAAAAAATGCGTAGAACCTGGGCTCCAGGCGATTGCAAACATTTGAATAAAACGGTTTAAGGTAACTTCTTGTAGTCTAACGCCGTGTCTATCTGCACTTGTCTATGTATCTGCTTTTGAACGATTTCCCGGACGTATTGTTCTACGTTGCGACTGCTTGCTTTCTCGTCCACCAACCAATCGATTTCGTTACATAGCTGACAGATAAACTTAAGAGTCTTGCTTCTGTTGCACTTTAGTATATATTACGTTTCTGAACTATAATACATTGTTAGATTTATCACTTTAATTAACTTTAGTCGCTTGAGTAGAAGAGACTATTCATAATCGCTCAGGCGACAAAAGAAAATTAACGCTGTTGAGAGCAAATATCGCTTCCTTTATCGTTGACTAACCGCCAGCAGAAGACGTAGTTCTGGTGCAATGATTGCCTGCGATAACGAAATGGATATCTTTGCCATGGGCTGCGATATCTGTCAACGAGTGAAATACGTTGTTACCGCACATCATGGACAAGGCTCCTAAAAACGGCAGACTTCACTTTCTGGGGTAAGTGAGCTGATGTGGGTTCTGACCAAAGCCTAAACGACTACGATCAAACGACCCGGAAAAAGCAATAAGAGCAAGTCGATACGTACTTTAGATGATGTCAAGTAGAAGAATATTGCTTTGCCCTTGGCCCTGTTATTCCCCTACGCACAGTTGTAGTGGCTGGGTGTAAATGGAGGTGTTTACCATGCCCAGTATGTTTGTAGACTATACATATCGATCGTGGGCGATCTGCTAGCCACCGTAAGTCGCTGGGGTCAAGTTCGGTTGGTTTAAACGATGGACAAGAAGAAGCCTTTTTTTTTCAAGACCATTTTTGAAGCTACCGGCCTATGCTCCATCCTGGAAACCTGTAGCATTTTCCTCGTGATCTCAGTGAATCTTTACTACGCGTAGTAACCCAAATGCGAGCAGGGCGCTTGTTTAGTTTATGTATGGAAGTCAGACACATAGGTAATGCGATTTACTCTCCTTCGATGCTAATAAGGTAAATTTGTTTGAGGATATGTTATCTGGGGGCAATAGAACCTGCTATTCGAAGTCTAGAAGGGACAGCTTTGATGATGTTTGTTGTTTGTGACCTCCCGTTGTCATAGAACAGAATGACCTGACCTCGTTTGCTGGGTCTTTTCACTCGAATAACTTAATTGACTCTCGATACAGCTGGTAAACACACTAATCAACTATCTGCTTTGGGAGAAGTAATCCCTAGCGAATCAGACTTTTCGCAATCCGTCGAACGTAATTTGAATGGAGATGTGGTTAAACCCTTGGCATTAAATTCTTTCGTGAAGCCATCCGTTTTGATCTCTTATTCACGAAAAGATACGGGCGTCACTTCTTATCACTACTGACAATTATATATGCGAAAATCGGTCATTATAAGCGCGTGATGCTCGACATCAGGCGAGATGTTGTGATGCAGTCTCGAACCGCAATAGCTTGTTGGATACAGAAGCCTCGTAGTACAGAACAAAAAATGCGTTTTTCAAAGCGCGGAGCTTTATTTTTAATTTGTTTTTGTAACGATCTAAAGGTGGTTCTGTGGCTTTCATCCTGGAGATTTCAATGTGAAATATTCTCCTCGTAGCGGTTCGCCGATTATGAAACGAAGACGCGTGAGTAGCTATGATATCGTAAAGGAACGAAATATCCACGGGCAAACAGTTTGACACTATTTGAAGGAGCTGGCTGCAAAAAAGAACTCGATTCACACAAACTGGCACAAGAGAATCTACTCAATTATAGCCTTATTTGCCAAACTCTACATAAGCTTCGAACTATTATTAAAACAGTTAATCCATGGTAATGAAAGGTAAATAAACGATCAACAACGATAATGTACAGGTACAGAAAAAAATTCTCTACATTCTGGACCAAAGCCTAGACTAATGACGCAAAAGAAAAAAGCGACGCTATGTTATGTTTTCGGTGGGATTGGCAAAGAATTGTGTATCACCAGTTGCTATCGCCTGGTCGAACAATTGATTCGGATTTATACTATATGTATATATATATATATATATATATATAGCTATATATATATATAGCTAACGAAATTACAATAAGCCATTGATATTAACACCTAAAGATTTCGCTGGGGTGGAAGCAAGCGCGCACGTTGAAATCACCCCGTTTAAGATACCCCAGATCAAAGAATTAATTTGCTTACCGTTAACTTGATGTATTTAGATATGTTTAATGGGAAAAGTTTCAGTTATGGCAATATCTGAGCGCTTCCTATTATTTTAACACGAAAAGATCTGTCTAAGGAAAACGAGCCTTATAGGAGCATCATTATTATACGAAGCTTACTTTGCTATTAAATAATATATAGAAAAGCATAACACGACCAACTACCATTGCTGAACGTTGATCTCCTAAACAACGATGGTTGCTCATGAGAGCTAAACGTTAGCTTCCTTTTCACAAGGTACGTGAACCTAAAGGAGACTAGGCCCAATAAGCATATTTGACTCACAATTTAACATATGTCTCAGCTGTGAGTAGAAATCATTCGGCACTTCGTTATGTCTAATTAGCCACATCGGGATGAAGCCAGCCTGTTATTTCGAGCTCAGCTGTTGAGAAGCAGCTAGCAGTCGTTCCGCCGCTAATGGCGGACCGAATTAGTACCTAGGTCCTGCTAATCCTCGATTGACTACTGCCAACTAAGTCAAGAAGGCTCAATGTCAAACAACCGGCTCTAACTTCGGCTTCCATAACACTGATCACGTGTGTGACAGATCCGCAATTTACTTTTAGAAAAGTCGACGAAGCTCAGTGCTCAATAGGGGAGTAAAAAGCCAGGCGTGCGACTTGAAGTAGAGAGTTAGTTAAGAGACTTCCCTACAAATCATATAATAGTAATATCGGACTGCCGTACTGCCATTCATACCTTTTTAGTATTTCAAATACGTTAAGGACTCCAAATACCGTTGCTGCCTCTAGCGAAAGTATGCCAGTGTTCTAGTTGTCCGATTCTGCAGCACAGAGACTGATTTTTCATATATGATATGAGCGATAAGAATATAATATGAGCGAACTTTGATGTAGAAAGAGATAGAAAAATGGGCTGGTCATCTATGGAAATTTATCAAATGCTATCAGTATAATGACGACCAGATTACAACAAGAATAAAGGGAAAAGCAGGCCGAAGAAGTAATCGCAGTGTATCTATGTCGTGGACATTACTTCTTTTTTATTAGATGCAATGTCCGTATGCGCAAACATTGAATAAGAGCGGCCCGCTCGACCGAACGTCCTACTCGGAAATAATATTTCTCCGGAAAAAAAATATGTTTCTTCTGTGTTGGGACATTTTGTGTCCTATGCGATATTGTCGAGTTACGGAACTAAACAACGCTAATATATAACGGCCCTTGGCAGGGATAGTTAGCTTACGATAAAGTACTTGCACCGTTCCGAACTACCAAAACGAGAGGAAAATATACCAGTGGCAGACATCTTTAAAAACGTTTTTGACCGATATTACAACAAGATGTAAGTGTAACAATACCTAACGCCACCTATGCAAACATTTATTTAAGACAATAATCATCCAGCTTAGTTTGGAGCCTAGTATAGGAAAAATTCAAATAGTCCCTAATGTGTAATTCGTTCGCGGAATACGGCAATTTTAACAGCTATAATGTGAACGTGGCTGCGCCGAGGAAATCTATAAAGTCTCTCTCCGTTTTTGTACTCGTCACATTTTTTTTATCGAATCGAACAGAGGTCTGAAAACGTCAGACCCGTTGGAGATTACAGTTCTAAGGATGATGCGATCTCCGCTGTTGTGGTCATCAGGTGAACGCGTTAGCAAAATGTATGTTAATTTTTCATCCTAACGTTAAATCGTATTGATCACTAATTTTAACTTTTTTTTTTTCATGGTAGATCTATGCTATTTTTGTGTTCGCCTTTACTTGATATTGCCAAAAAAAAAAAAAAAAAAAAATACTTCTTTCCACTACTGCTCGGCTACCAGAGACGTACGCGTTGTTACCCTTTATTGAGTGTGCAGATTCATCAGGTTAACTGGAACACGACGTGTTACGAACGGGAGTAGGTTAAGGGTCAATCAGACGCTGACTCTGATTCTGCGGGCTATTACCTCACTGTAATGGTCGTAGTAATAGGCTGTAGTCGTAGTAGCAGTGAAGAATTACACCGTCTGATGGAACGCCAAACGGCAGTCCCAAACGTAAAACTCAAAACATTCCGTTTTAACTACACGTTCTGAAAGTTGACAAAACAACACAACCAGCCTCTGACTCGACTTTAGCACATTGTTTGGGAAATTACCATATTTACACAGTTCTACGAAATAAAATAATGAATTGTAACTACAAAATTCAAAATGGCCTATTTGTCTTCTGATCGACAAAGTTATATTGATAAATAATGAATAGCATCGTTGGAGTTGCTCGCCTCACATTTAGCACTATAATACACTTCTATAATACAGCCATTTCATTATTCCTTCAAAACTTAACCTGTTCAGCCGGCCTTCTCGGTGTTAAGTGAGGCTTGTTTATGGACCAAAGCAAAACCTAGTTGCTACAGCCACTCCGTCTGTGTAAAGAAACGTCTGTATGATACTACCTGAGCGACATTTTGATTGGGAAGATGAATACCTTTGGTTTTTCGTTAATCGTAAAAATACTAATAGTTTGTATATGTTTGTAGAGCACAATGGTGGCCTATTTGAAAAAGTATGTTTTTCCTTGTAGCTCGTCGCTTACGTGTATGAAATATGTAGGTCGTCATAGCTCTGGGGGTACTGCGCGAGAACTTTTCACTCTATCGTTAATCAATTTGTCCTGTGTGTATAACTTAAGCACATTCTTATTACCACAAATGGATTTTACTTATTATTTTAACATGGTTATCGATTTCTATCTCGACTACCGATCTTGAATATTGTTGTTGTTGGGGGAGCGCGGCTTAGCGAATTTGCCGCACATCTGTATGCTACTATACGAACCCTAGACTTCTCGAACATCTAGTTTCCGTGTAGACGTATCACCGACCATCACTCTAATCCACTCGCGGGATGACAGTTAATCCCTGGTAACTGTGATGATGGTGACCGTACCCGACGACGGCGTGTGAAGAGCCCGTGGAGATAATTTAGCTGGCCTCTGCTATTCGTAGGTTGGACAGCTGAAAATATTGGGACACCGTATTGGCACTTAAAGTAAATTAGCGATGAATTAGGTAAAAATCCTGGTTAAGGTAGACCGTAGGTTGATGGTACAACAAATAACTGGTGTTGTACCTAAGTAATATAAGTAGTTTGTCAAAAACTAGGTGCAAAAAAATTCAAGTAATTGCTATATCACCTATATGGATTGCTATATCACCTATATATATTATATATATATAATAATAAGAATAATAAAACTAATGTCTTAAATAAATCCGAACTATGTTACAGAGGCCTATCTTCATGCACTATAGTTGAAGTCTCGTGAAAGCCAGCAGTCTGACCCTAATAATGACCCGATCGATCCGTACGATAAGAACAAAGTTACGGAATGCACGAAGCTAATTTGTGTGCTTTTAAATAGTTCCTCGTACAATGAACATATGCATATAATTGATTCGCGATGAAAACATTTCGAAAGATGGTGGCTCTAAAAGAAAGAAGCTCGGCAGAATTGTCCTTTGCTAAAAGTGTTACATACACCGCGGTGCCAGAGGCCAAACAGGTTGTAGAGTTTCTATCAAGGCCAGACATGAGTTTTATGTACGCCAATGAAAGTGACAGATGACAAATGAGAACTGATCATCATTGATGTATTTCTGCCAGGCGACAACTCAGTACGGATATGTCGTACCTATTTCTCGCTAGTCGGCAGCGTGAACGTTCGGAAAAATCACATTAAACAGGTACAGTTCAATGAAATGGACACTTTGAAAACGCACAATCGTCATACTGGATCATTCAGGCTCGCTGGTACAGACTGGAAGTTAAGGAACTGCCTCGAAAATAGGAACAAGCCATGAACATGGAGAGCATTTGAACAAGGTCCTTTTTTAAGCTCTGCAAAGCTGCTGTTTAGATCGACACGAGCACAGGGCAAGGGCGGCGATTCTGGACATAATTCGATGTGAAAAAAATTAGGATCAGTAAAATGTTACCCTTTATAGCCGCAGAATAGCAAATCACGGTCGTGGCCATGTCCGTCTAATCTATGATTAGACAATAGCTGACTAACGCGGGTTGAGGCGAGCGACTGCCAATAAATAGCATGGACTAATGCAGATTGTTCACCGGCTATTGACGACACATGCTCAAATGACATAGCATAAATGTACAAACGAATCCTAGGAAAATAGATCGAAATATAGCCCGCTTTACTAGATATTTGAACAGTTTAAAACTGAAAAGGGAAACTTAAACATTACAAAAACCATGGAGCACGGTTCTGTCTAAAAAAAAAAATCTACTTCTTGTGATTGCTCTTCCTTGACGAACACGGATCGATACGTATAGAAGTTGTACGTTCGCTATCATCAATGTGTAGGGCGGATCGATTTTAAAATCATTCGACTTTTTCTGCCAGATTTATTCATCAAATGCTGAACTCTCGTATCGAAACATGAACGCGATACTGACACTACTTAATAGAAACAGTCACTTGTAAACGTAAATCCTTCAGCGTTACAAAACCCCTGAGGGCATTCGAGCTTGCGGGTACAGACTACAAGCAAGCGTTACATGCGAACGCCCTTTGCGGATGATAAAAGTTCAGCGTGCGCTCCAAAATTTCAGCTCCTTCTACAAATTCTATAACCCGCCCAGTTAAAATGTACGTAAATGAGCATTGAATACATTGAACTTTCGTACTACGTAGGGTAACAGAAAGCATAACCAATGGAGTCATTCAGCAGAGCCTCTACGAGAGATAATTAGGATATGAACTAGAAGTCTCTGCGACCTTCTAGTTTCTTAAGTGTGTATGGATACTATCTATCAATATCTGTCTCAGTACTTCTGATATTTTAGATTTCGATTTTAGATCAACGTTTGAAACGGAAAAAAATAATAAACTTCTGGATATTTGTCTAATCAAATGGACCTTAGTTTTTTTTCCACCATTGTTGGAGTGTTTATGCCAGGGTCAGCAATAGCTTCTTGGTGCATGGAAAGGCGCCTACTAGTTGTCCGCAAAACGACAATATTGGGATCATTGGCTTGCGTCTGACATACAAAGTAGCTCGCGTACTTGGATCACAATATTAAAACTACGATGTATGTATTTTTAAAAATTATCGGACAATACAGCCTATGCTAGATCAATTTTACAGAATCGACGGTGGAAGTATATTTAAAACGTACAATGTATCATTGCTTTTTTATTCTTATTGAACAAAGCAATCCCAGGAAAATCAATACATCAACAATCGTCAGTTGACAGTAGTTAACCGAATGGCCAATGTAGGGACTGGAAGAGACGTCAATAGATTTATTAACCATAAATCATCATCATCATCGTGACTCGCGTCTCTAGAAGGACAAGTTGGATCCTGCTTTCATTTATGGTTTTGAGCCGAATCTCTCTATTCAACCCTTCGACTGCTACGTGACGCTAATTCTCACATATGCGTCTCCAGCGCGGAATATAGGATTGATTAGGAGTCAAGCGTCTTTGAATACAAAATACATTTATAGGGCGTGTTGCCCAACGATGTCATTGTAGTATAATGCGAAAACGATCCGGACCTGCTAAGTACATCGTTGGCCGGAGCTTTCTTAGCGATCATTCCTATGGTACATATCGCTAAATGAGAGAAAATAACAAAAAATATGTATGAACAAGGTGCCCGTATAGCGTGCTCTTCGGTCTGCCGCCCGATCGCCGCTGCTTTTTGGATGTGCTTTGTTTCAAATGAAGAGTACTTCTATTATATCGTATACAAAAACACGATATCTGTGAAGGAGAATAGGTCTATTCACAGTCACTACTTTATGAACTAGTGACATAAATGCAAGCGTTTATGCGTCAGTATGTCTGATATTGTTGACACTAACCTTGCATAGTTGGGTGCTTGATTCAGCCCTATTCGTCATTCTGTGAATAGGCAAAGTGGAAAGGAACAAGGACTCACGTTTTAAACTTTTATATTTTTTCGTATACGTCGCATAATTTGAGTAGATACAGTTTGTGTTTCTAGAGACCATTTCACTTCGAAATGTTAGTTTAAACGGTTACAGATAGTCATTCATTGCTGCCTACGTGCCTTTACTAGCCTGCCTGTATCATCACATCCACCCTACTGGTCAACGACTTCCTGATTGGCCCAGATAAGACCCCGCACTTTCAAACAACAACGTATGTAGTTTAAATAAGTACTACTGAGCCTATTGTTGCTAAATAAATATGATATATTTCGAATTTTTGTCCTGTTAGGTACTGTCACGAGGCGCCGGTTCGGATGGTTGGCCCTTACCATAAAACAAATCGTACCTATTCCCACTGTAGAACAATATAGCTTTGATGCCTATTTCTAGTATCCCTATGTGATCTCTGCATTCTATAGTATACACACATCACCTTGTTCGAGAGATCACCGGACGCTCCCATTAATGTAATACATCGGCGTCGCTAATGACTTGTATTTTAACTCATAAAGTTTATATCAACGATTCCGTTGCTAGGTCGTCCGGCTGGCTGTCATTTCACTTTATGAATCGCCGCGTGAGTACAAGTTAGGGTTATCTGAAAAATTAGCTTTGCTTCCTCCGGCGGTAAGCGACCTCAGCATTGATATCGCTATAGCCAACGCCGATGGTAATTTGTCAACGTAATTAACGCCGAGGAAGGACACCTATTCAAGGACTGCTTCATGCCGCACTTATGACAGTGGTCAATATTCTGCGGTGGAATGGCAGCATACAATTTTTAGCCTTTTGAAGGCTTTTTGGGAAGACGAAACGGACCTGTACGGGACGCGCGGCTCTCGTTTGACCGTCGAGGCCCGAGGCAGAGCTTTTTAAGGCAAATTATTAATACCGGAGCCTTTCTCTATACTTATATATATACACCTGTAAAAATACCCAGTTGTTTGCCATTTACGTAAAGACTTTAACAGATCTGTGCAGAAAAAGCATACTGTCTTAATTTTGACTCAAACGTAACTATTATCGTTGTTACTTTACCTTATTAATAACGTTTTTGTTAAATGATACCACATTAATGGGTTGAGGTTTGGTCACAGACACGTTTGTAAACGAGTGGTTTTGTGAGCGCATCGTTTTGCGGTTGGTGTCATTCATGCAAGAGTTGCGGATAAAGTATAGAACAAATAAACGACGTATCTATGATATAGACTCAATAGCCGAAGAAATTCGTTTCCCCGTAAAAACCTACCTGATTTCCAGGCCTTAGTGTCGATACGGTCACTCTAATGCCGACAAGGTTCACCAGTCTTCCGCCGAGTTAAATATATGTGGCCGATCTATTTCTTCTTAAGTACGTTGAGTGAATATATGAAACGCATCAAACAATCAGAACAAATCTTAGCATGTATGTGTCTGTGTGTTTTTGCTCTCAGAAAAAATCGTTGCATCTATTCCCCTAATGTTTTCTGTGCACTATCACCTTTGCTAATTGCACACTCTTGCAAGCACAATGCTACTAGTAGACATACAATTTAAATCGACTAATCTTGACTCCATACTCTTCTGTACTTCGCGGCGCTTCCGCGTGCAAAATTCGAAAGCGACCCATTACTTTTTGCTGTCTTTCGGCCCGAGGTCCAGCGGTAGTGAGCAAAGCCGTTGAAAGAAAGCTTCTTTGTTTTTTTCTAGGAGAGGCGTTCTCGTTTGAGCCTTGCGACGAAGATTGGCCTGGGACAGCATTGCCGGCGACAGAGATAGAGATTCTTCCGGGCCGTTCCATTCATCATAGCTGGATCGAATCGAGCGCTTCGAACCGTCCCAGAAAATCATTACCCAGAAGGTATCTGTCGTTTTGCGACCCGGCCGTCCGATGCGGTCGCCTAGATGTCGGGGCGTGCCCAAGGTGTCCCTGCCATTCACCCCAGTACCACGTGTGCATTATTCCTGTGTCGATATCGAGAGAAGGCATACACTGCCCATAATTGCTATGACTTTTTACCTCTACTTGGGTCCTTCCTATAGCTCGCAATATCGTATACTAACCGTAATGAAAGTTAACCTACTATATGAGCGGTAATATTCCAAGAATAAGACTTCGGTTGTTAGCATGCTTTTAGATTCTGTGTGCAAAGACTAATCCACGTATTGTCTAACCCATAGTTTGCTATAGTCGCCACCTTAAGGATAAACAGACAACAGTGATAATAATAGTAGAAGTTACATCAAACTGTGTTGTCGTTGTTGGCCTGTTTCTGTCTATTGATCTCTTCCCTTATCATAAATACATTTTGACTCTGTAAATCATAGCCAGTTTATATTAAGGCAATGGCACCGTTTCTTTTTCTAGCTTACACAATAGTCATCATCTTCGATATTACAGAAACTAAGAGGTAAAACATTACAGGTCGACTCATGGATAATGTGTAGATGCCGATGTACGAGCATTGGGACGTATTATCTATAAGAAGCTAAAATTGCTTCACATCAAACTGTCTCTAGGATTTAGCAATCTAAATCTAGCGATTTTCTGCTCTGTGTATGCAAAGGGGATTTGATCGTCACCAGAATATTAAACTAGCGGAGGTTATGCGCTTTTGCTATTGTACCTAAGTTCGTCGATGTCGACGCTTGAGATGGCTGTATAGTTGGCTTCTATCTATTTTTATAGTCGAAAAAAGAATGGGGAAAATAAAAGGCAAATGAGCGAGACAATCGACTAAGTAAAAAATAAGTTCATTAAAACAATCCTAATTTCCAGCGCCATCAGACGTTCTAATCACTCCTTTTTGGTCCTCCTTGGAGTAACCATTAATCTGTAGTTAATTAACCATTAAACCATTTGCTTAAAAAAACGAGAGCTTACTAGAGCTATGTCAGTCCCTCCTCCCTACCCCACAGGACAATAACCCGTGATGCTCTTCAAGATTTAATAATGATTTGTTAGCCTCGATACGCTGTTTAGCGTTCGGAAAAACCATATTCATTAGAACGAGGTGAGCCAGCATCGTTACTTTTTGGCGTTCAGGCTTTTACAGGAAGCTGCCAT